GAGGGAAGGAGGGAAGGGGGGAGGCAGGGCTGCCCTCGGGCGCGGGCGTGAGGCGGGAGCGGGGAGCCTCGGGGCCCGGGCTGGGGGAAGACTCATGGACACGGCCAGGCAAGCCCCGGGCGGGCATACCTGCGCACAGGCGCTTTTGTCTGGACCATAGAATCATCATAGAATGGTTTAGGTTGGAAGGGACCTTGGAGATCATCGAGTTCCAACCCCCCTGTGAAAATGAAGCTGGTTGCTGTGTTTCCATCACAGGACTCCCCCAGCACAGGCCTTGCAAACTGTTCCCCAGAGATGGATGAGCGTTTTGCCGCCGGAGCGTCAGGAACGGCCGGTCCGAGGTACCCACTGCGGCCTGCCGCAACGGGTAGCGCGGCGGTGGCACTGGGATACGACTGAAACGTCCTGCGGTTTGGTGTTGCATCGATGGGCAACATCCATGATGTTACATCCATGCAAGACGCTGGACTCTTGAGTTTGCCGTTGAAGTTGGTGGCAAAATACTGCAGTTTTCCGCACAGAATCGCCTTTGGCTCTTTAAATAAACTAAACCCACACATTATGCTTACATATTTTATCTGTATGGCACACATGGGTTAGTTACATGAAGAGCGATCAAAATTGCTGTTTCCTTACACCAGGATAAACACTAATGGCATTAAAATTAATTGCTGGCCGTTTTACAGTAATACTTCGTTAGGGATAGGAAAACCAGTAAGACCTGCTTGTATGCTTTCCGTCATGTTTTCCATCATAAGGCGGCGTGTCTTTTTGGTGGCACTTCCAATGTGAGGAGTTATTATAACATTCTTCAGCTTTAACAAAGGGTGATCCCTGGGAAAGGAAAAGAAATACTGAGCTAGTCACTCACAGAGAATCTGTTATTTCGTTACTTGAAACAGAGCCGGGGAAATATTTAAAATAATAATTAAAAATAAAAACATGCATGATCCAAGCATACTCAGAGGAGTTGAAACTGCTGCCTAGCTTGCAGGTTTTTTATGCAACAAATCCTCCAAATGAGTCAGTGTGAATTTTGTTTGGCTAGGATGGAATGATTGGGGACATTGTTTCAGGAGGACTAGTGCCCATACATCATGTACTCCTACTAACAAAATGATGTAACTTCTCACATGCTCACAAACTTGTACTTAGTTTGAGCCACACATACACTCATTTATATTTAACTTAAACACGTGTCCTACCTTGGCAAAGGTTCAGGATATGTCACATCCAGAGCAGCTGCCTTAATAACTTTGTTGTGAAGGGCTTCCACCAAAGCATCCTGATCCACAACCAGACCTGGGTTACAGTAAGGAGGATACACTTATTGTCATATCCCGTACTGTTCTCTCACCATCCTTTTGGGCATGATGGTCAGGCAAATGGCAGGGCTAGCAATGTTCACAAAGCAGAAATGGCAGCAGAGAGAGGGTGGTGAAGCGGGAGGAGAAAGCTTGGGTACATGCAGCAGAGTTGGACAGTCAGGAATTTTTGAAGGTAGTCCGTACACCATAAAACAAAGTACAGTGCCAGACTTCAGGGTAGGCTGTGCCACCTTGATGTATGTTAGCAACAACACTGCTCTAAATAAATGAAAAGTGTAAATAGGAGATTATACAAATATACATGGTCTAATGCTCCGAGCTCACTAACATTTTAGAGACCTACTTGCTCATAATTGTGAAAATGCTTAAACGTTTTGCTGAGATATAACCACGGGCATTTAAATAATCTAGTAAACAGAGAATTTACTGAAAATTTCAGAGTGACAGACTCTATATTAGGGTTGGGCTCTCCCAGGACTTTTTATGCCAGTAAACCATAATGCAGCTCTGTTTATTCTGCACCCTACCTCTGCTGATATTAATGAGGGTAGCTGTGGGTTTCATCAGCTCCAGCTCTCTCTTCCCAATCAGTTTGTGTGTCTCTGCAGTCAGGTTCACAGACAGCAACACAAAATCAGACTGATGGAGCAAATCATCTATCTTCTTACAGTAAATAGCTCCAACAGCACTTTCTTCTTCCTTGTTTCTGGGGGGAAAAACTCAAAATTAAACTTCAACAGTAAGCAACAAGAAAAAGTTCATATGACCATTAGATAAAAGGTTTCTTAATTGTTTTCTTCACTCTGTAATGCAAAGCAGCTAGCCAGTTATCTGACTGAAACTCAGTAAAGAAAAATGTTAAGCTCTTTCCCACAATACCAAGTGCACTATACACAAATGTGCAGTAATATACCTGTGAGGATGCAAAGTAAGAAATGCGTATCATGTAAATGCACTGAATAAATAATAAAATAGATGCATTTGTGTCACAGCTTCTGGTTGTAACAGAGGCAAAATAGGCTTTCCATGGAGCTGCAACCAACTTTACCTCTGATTCCTGTTGTGGTACAAAATCTTCATTTCAAAGGCTTTGGCTCTCTCGGCCACTTTGTAGCCAATGGTGCCCATTCCCACGATCCCCAGGGTTGCCCCAGAAAGCTCAGCCCCCAGCCAGTCAGCCGGGAAATACTCTGTGTCGGGGGAGACTGCCATCTGATAGCCTTGGTGGAGGGAAAAGAAGGAAAAATGCCATGTAAAGGATTGCCTGATTCCTGGCATATGGTTGCTTTTTCCCTGCTTACTTGTTATTATAAGACAAGGCAGAAGCAGAGGAGCTGTAACCTAATGTTACTGTGTTTCTGGACAAGAAGTGAATAATGCTGCACTGTAAACACGACATCTGACATTGCTTTCTTGCTTAGGATAGAAACATATCCAGCCCCTTTTTGGCAAGGTGAGGCCAAAGCAGCAACCTCCCTTCGATGCACATTACACAACTGCCCATCATCTCTGCCTGCAGTACAGATTATCGTGCCATTGAAATGCACCTTGGCAACTCAGCTTCGTCCTCATGGTGGTTCATCAGCAAGGACCAATGAAACTGGCAGTGCCATGGACGTCACCTACACTGTAAACACTGAATGGTATCATCAAGACTTTCCATAAGGCCCAAATATGATTCCCAGACATCTTGCAGATACACCAAAGTTGTCAGGAAAAAGAAACACAGAGGATGGTGGACAGATTTCTGGACAGCTTGCTCGTAATGACTCAGATACATGTCAGCTTGGCAAAGACAGGTTTCAAACCTCCTTGAAAATATCTCCTTTTAATCCCCTTTTATTAAAACTTGAAAAGCAAGACTGCAGTGAACAAGTAGAACACCATGGTGGCTATGGGCTGAGGGAGAAGAGGCCTGAATTTAGGGCTGTCTGAAGAAGGAACACATCTACCTTGCTGATATGCCTGTTTGGAAGCGGTATGCGCTGTGTGCAAGTTATTGGCAACATGACAGATTTGCCTGAACTTTTTCCTCATCCCTGTATTCTCCTCTATTACTACGTTTAAGCTTACCTTTGCATCAGCAGACACTTTCTAACTGCGTCACCTTTCCTATAAAAGACTAAAATCATTTTGATTATTACCTTCCACAAGTCTCCTGGAAGAAGCCAGCATCAAAGCCATCCCCAGATCTGCAGTGTCAGTGGAAACAACAAACGGAGTGTTGGACAGTTTCACACCATAGCTGGAGAGGAGGCTCAGGTCCAAGTGATCTATTCCCACTCCAGAGCTTGCAACTATCTTCAAGTTAGGCAAGCTCTGGAGCAGCTCTTCATTAATAACTGGTTTGTGATACCACATATAAACAGCTCTGATCTTTTCACTGAGAAATTTTCTGTTTTCAAGATATTCTTTCATGGTGATGAGATGAAAATATTTCTCCAGAAATTCAATGTGGTCTTCATATACTCCATGCTTCCCTCCTATGCAGTCAATTAGCACATAAGGCAGTTCCTGACCCTCCATGCCCTACAAAAGCAATGAGAAACCAAAAGGATATCAAGTGATCCATTACATCTTTTTTCAAAAACCAGAATTGATTGGCTCCGTTACACGCTGTTTTCCCACTCGATGACAGAGTTGGCTAAATATATTCACTTTCACATGCAGAACTTTTCTTCTGTTCTTCCTGTGTTATTCAGAAGGATGTTCAATTTTTATATAATCTTGTTAATAAGACAAGAAAACATTGTTTCTGGCATACCAGCTATGCTAACACTTAAACAAAAGAGCTACCAGATGTAACTCCTGTTTGATATTTAAAGGCCAAAGTCTCGACAATTTAAGAATGTGGCCATGTGAGTGGAAGGGTATATTTTAGCCCCCAAGTTCTGCCTTTGGTTGCCACCATATTAAGCGATGATCATGAATGAGATTATCTCAGGAAAAGCCTTGTTTAATATAACAGCGCTATAATTTGTCACCTATGGGCTTCGGAGTTATCAATTTGCTTTCTGAATGTAAGTTTACACTTTTTTCCCTCCGTCTCCCTCAGTGTCTGGACAACTCTTCCCTCCGCCGACTCTGAAAAGAATCAAGGCCGTTTTCTCAGGTTAAAGACAAGAGACCAGCACGCTGCCTCTCAGCTGCTTAGGAAACACAGCCGTAGCGCCAGAGGTACAGAGAAGACAAACGTGAGTTGGGCCCCACACCAGCTGCCAGTACTTTTTTCCTGGCTGAGCACAGAAGGATGCCCAGCTGCAGGGCTGATGAAACAAGGCTCTCCCACCGCCTGCTTGACAGGACCAGCGTCCCTCTGCCCTCCCCCAAATCTCCAGCCGCCGGAGCGCGGTGTAATGGCTAGTTTTCCAGGCTTAGGGCGGGCTGAGTCCTTTCTAGAAGGCGTTTGCAGCTGTCCCGGCGAGCCTGCAGGCGGGACTAGAGATTGG